GTGAAGGTTGCAGTGAGCCGAGATAGTGCCACTGCTCTCCAGCATGGTGATAGAGACTCCGTCTCAAAAAAAAAAAAAAAAAACAAAAACCACAATCAGAAACATGGGGGATATCACCACTAACCCCAGGGAAATACACACAACCATCAGAGACTATAAACAACACCTCCATGCACACAAACTAGAAAATTAGAAGAAATATATAAATTCCTGGACATGAATACCCTACCAAGACTGATCCAGGAAGAAATCAAATTCTCAAATAGACCAATAATAAGTTCTAAAATTGAAGCAGTAATTAATAGCCTACCAATCAAAAAAAGCCCAGGACCAGAGGATTCACAGCTGAATTCTATCAGAGGTTAATTAAAAAAAAAGACGGAGCTGGTACCATTCCTACTGAAACTATTCCAAAATACTAGGCCAGCATCATTCTGATACCAAAACCTCGCAGAGATAACAACAATAAAAGAAAACCTGAGGCTAATATCCTTGATAAACATTGATGCAAAATTCCTCAACAAAATACTGGCAAATCAAATCCAGCAGCACATCAAAAAGCTTATCCACCACAATCAAGTAGGCTTCATCCCCATGATGCAAGGCTTGTTCAACATACACACATCAATAAATGTGATTCATCACATAAACAGAACTAAAGACAAAAACCACATGATTATCTCAATCGATATAGAAAAGACCTTTCATAAAATTAAACATCACTTCATGTTAAAAACTCTCAATAAACTAGGTATTGAAGGAACATACCTCAAAATAATAAGAGTCAGATATGATAAATCCACAGCCAATATCATACTGAATGGTCAAGGGCTGGAAGCATTTCCTTTGCAAACTGGCACAAAACAACGTTGCCCTTTCTCACCACTCCTATTCAACATAGTACTGGAAGTCTTAGCCAGAGTAATCATACAAAAGAAATAAAAGGCATCCAAATTGTTAAAGAGGAAGTTAAACTGTCACTGTCTCCAATGGTATGATTGTATACCTAGAAAATCTTAAAGACTCATGTAAAAAGCCCTTAGATCTGTTAAACGAATTCAGTAAAGTTTAAGGATACAAAATCAATGTATACAAATCAGTAGCACTGCTAAAAACCAACAGTGACCAAGCTAAGAATCAAATCAAGAACTCAACCCCTTTTATAATAGCTGCAAAAAATAAAGTACTTAGGATATACCTATCCAAGGATGTGAAAGACCTCTACAAGGAAGAGTGCAAAATACGGCTGAAAGAAATCATAGATGAAAGAAACAAATATAAAAACATCCCATGCTCATGGATGGGTAGAATCAATATTGTAAAAATGACTATACTGCCAAAAGCGATCTACAAATTCAATGCAATTTCCATCAATATTCCATTATCATTCTTCACAGAACTAGAAAAAAGCTATTCTAAAATTTATATGGAAGTATAAAAGAGCCTGCATAGCCAAAGTAAGGCTGAGTATAAAGAAGGAATATGGAGGCATCACATTACCCAACTTCAAATTATACTGCAAGGTTATAGGTACCAAAACAGCATGCTACTGGTATAAAAATAGGCATATAGACCAATGGAACAAAATACATAACCCAGAAATAAAGCCAAATACTTACAGCCAACTGATCTTCGACAAAGCAAACAAAAACGTAAAGGAACGAAAGGACACCCTATTCAACCAATAGTGCCGGGATAATTGGCAAGCTTTATATAGAAGGATGAAAGTGGATCCTCAACTCTCACCTTATACAAAAATCAACTCAAGATGGATCAAATACTTTAAATCTGAGACCTGAAACCATAAAAGTTCTAGAAGGTAACATCAGAAAAACTCTTCTAGACATTAGCTTAGGCAAAGAGTTAATGACCAAGAACCCAAAAGCAAATGCAAGAAAAACAAAGATAAATAGATGGGACTTAATTAAACTAAAAAGCTTCTGCACAACAAAAATCTTAATAATAATCAACAGAGTAAACAAACAACCTACAGAGTGGGAGAAAATATTCACATACTATGTATCTTACAAAGGACTAATGTTGAGAATCTACAAGGAACTCAAACAAAGCCACAAGGAAAAGAACAAATAATCCCGTCAAAAAGTGGGCTAAAACATAAATAGGCAATTTTCAAAAGAAGATATGCAAATAGCCACCAAACATATGACAAAAATGTTCAATAATGATCGGGGAAATGTAAATCAAAAGCACAATGCAATGCCACCTTACTCCTGCAAGAATGGCCATAATTAAAAAATCAAAAAATAATAGATGTTATGGTGGATGAGGTGAGGAACACTTTTACACTGCTGGTGGGAATGTAAACTAGCACAATCACTATGGAAAACAGTGTGGAGATTCCCTAAAGAACTAAAAGGAGATCTACCATTTGATCCACCAATTCCACTACTGGGTATCAGCCCAGAGAAAACTAAGTCATTATATGAAAAAAAACACTTGCACACACATGTTTATAGCAGCACAATTCACAATTGCAAAAACATGAAACCAGGCTGGGCGCGGTGGCTCATGCCTGTAATCCCAGCACTTTGGGAGGCCAAGGTGGGTGGATCATGAGGTCAGGAGATCAAGACCATCCTGGCTAACATGGTGAAACCCTGTCTCTACTAAAGATACAACAAATTAGCTGACATGGTGGCAAGCACCTGGAGTCCCAGCTACTCCAGAGGCTGAAGCAGAAGAATAGCGTGAACCTGGGAGGCGGAGCTTGCAGTGAGCCGAGATCGCGCCACTGCACTCCAGCCTGGGTGACAGAGTGAGACTCCGTCTCAAAAAAAGAAAAGGAAAGAAAGAAACCAGCCAATGCCCATCAATAGGCTCAATAAAGAAAATGTTTTATATATATACATATATATATATTATATATATATGTATACATACACACACACACACACACACACACACACCACTAAATACAACTCAGCCAAAAATAGGAAAGAAATAATGGTATTCCCAGCAACCTGGATGGAATTGGAGACCACTATTTTAAGTGAGGTAACTCAAGAATGGAAAATCAAACATTATATGTTCTCACTTATAAACGGGAGCTGAGCTATGACAACACAAAAACATAAGAATGTTACAATGAAACTTGTGGACTTGGGTGGAAGGGTGGAAGGGGGTGAGGAATAAAAGGCTACACATTGGGTACAGTGTACACTGCTCAGGTGACAGGCATACCAAAATTTCCAAAATTCTGTGCATTAAATAACTTATCCATGTAACCAAACACTACCTGCTCCCCAAAAACTACTGAAATAATACTAATAATAAACAAACAAAAAGAAAACAGGAACATATACACCATGGACTGCTACTCAGCCATAAACAGGAATGAAACTATGTCATTTCAGCAACTTGGATGGAACTGGAGGTCATTATTCTCTGTAAAGTAACTCAGGAATCTACAAGCAAATAGTGCACCATCTCACCTAGAAATGAAAGCTAAGCTATGGGTCCACAAAGGCATGCAGTGTAGTATACTAAACATCAGAGACTCAGAAGTGGGGAGGGTGAGAGGAGGGTGACGGAGGAGAAACTGCCCATTGAGTAAAATGTAAACTAACTGGGTGATGAGTGCACTCAAATCCCAGACTTCAACACTATCCAATTCATTTATGGAACCAAAGACAACTTGTACTCCTAAAGCTATTGAAACACACTTAAAAAAATTTAACAACAAAAAAATAATAAGAAGAAGCTCGAATTTTAAAACACTCATATGAACTTATTTTGTAAGTACTGATATCATGGAATCTCTTGTTCTGTGTGCCGTACCTACATGGAATTGGGTATTAATTTCTACTACAGGTATCACAAAAGTCTTTTAATGGTGTATTTGAAGAGAATTCACAACTACACAATTTATCTATGGCATCTAAAACCACAGGTACCCCTACAAATATTGAAATAACAAAATATATTCAATGTTTTCTTAGCTCAGCTGTGACCTCGGGTCAGCAGGTCAGTGAGGTCAAGGCTGGCTTCTCAGGACCTCATGGCATTCCCATCATGGGCAATGGCAGGGTAGCTCAGCTCAGGCTCCCTTCCCCCTTCAAAGGGGAAAAGGAGCTTGAGGGGGCTGAGGGGAAAACCAGTGACAGTCACTTGTGATTCTTTTCTCAGGAAAGCTTTGGCTTATCTGGAGTCAAATCTGCTGGAGGCTACAAGATTTTCATGAGTGTCACTTTTGGGGAGAAAATGTCACAGGAGAATCCCTGACACAGAAGTGACCATTTCAAATTTTTCAAATTTCCATACCCCCTCCAACCCCCTCCCGACACACTTCATTCTCAAAGGAACTGATAAAACCTCATGATCTCATGCCTTGGTGTTTGGGAGCAGATGTGTATGTTGGCTAACTTTCGACTTTGCTAAAATTTTTTTTTCACTGTCAATATTTCCATGACGATGGAAAAATGTAAACTTTCAGATTATCTTTCACACCTAGAGCTTTAGGTGACCCACCCACCTACCATCCCTCCCACAAGGCACATGCCAGAGGTTTGCCCCTCCCTTGGGTGTGTGCAGAACCCGGGGACTTGATTGGATTTTCACAACCCTGATGAGCTTGAGGATCTAGTGAAGCAGGGAGTACAATGGAGGGTAGCTGGGTGGGTTTAATGCAATCATCTGAGCCCCTTATAAGAGGCAGGGCTTTACTGAGACCAGAGATCTCCAGTCAGAAAGAGACTGCCTGCGAGGGAGATTCCTGGCCGCTGCTGTAAAGACCAAAAAAACCCAGGACCCTGTGGCGAGACTAAACAGCCCAGCCTCTGCCCCACAGACCTGAGAGCTGGTAAGTCTGGGGCTGGGTTTGCAGGGACTAAGTGTGTAGGAGGGTCATGCGCATGGATCTCAACTCACAGGCTCTCTGAATCCTGAATCCACAGCACCACTGCCCTCGCTCTCTGACGCCAGCACCGCCTGCAGCAGGCCAGTCTCGGCCCAAAGAGAGGGGAGAGGCTACAGCCCAGGCCATGGCGCGCACCAAGCAGACCGCCCGGAAAGCCACCAACTGGCAGGCCCCCAGGAAGCCCCTGGCCACCAAAGCCCCAGGCAAGAGGTTGCCGCCTAGAGGAGGGATCAAGAAGCCTCACCGCTATAGGCCTGGCACCCAGGCGCTGCGCGAAATCAGAAAGTACCAGAAGTCCACGCAGCTGCTCCTGCGCAAGCTGCCTTTCCAGCGCCTGGTGCGCGAGATCGCCCAGGCCATCAGCCCGGACCTGCGCTTCCAGAGCGCGGCCATTGGCGCCCTGCAGGAAGCCAGCGAGGCCTACCTGGTGAGCCTCTTTGAAGATACCAACCTGTGTGCCATCCATGCCAGACGTGTCACAATTATGCCCAGAGACATGCAGCTGGCCCGCCGCATCCGCAGAGAGGGTGCTTAAGAACCCAAAGGTAGCTAAGCACAGGATTGGGAGTGGAAACAGGCAGAAATCAGGTCTTGGTGGTGTTTCTGTGTGCTTTTGTCAATGTCTAATCTACCTTGAGGGTCATAAGGCACTAGTAGTGTCAAGTGGGAAGTTTCAGTGAGCGAGTTTCAGCACTTCAACTCTACATCCATTTGCAAGAAACCTGTTCATTTTCACTGGACTACGCCTGTGTTTAGACTACTTCAAACCAAATAAATCTCTTCCTGATGGCAACTCGGTGATGTTTGTTTAACTTGATCAGTAGATGAGATCCACACTTTGACTTTTCCCGTATGCAGCTCTGTGTTTGCAATGTTCCCTGTGTCCTGGGCTGTTCCTACTAGTTTGCTATGAACACACATTCAACTCCACTTCCTAAAATACGAACAGACTCTCTATCCACAAGGCACTTCACATTATGGGAGGCAGTGTGACTGTGTTTGTGAGTAGGAAAGGGAAAGAGGAAGCCTTTAGAAGTCTGATGCTGTCCATCTCTGGCAGTTCAGCGTCCTAGAACGTGGTCACATCCATGGCCATGACTGGAATGACCCAGGTCTCGGTAGGGGAGGTAGTAGGAGAGGCCCTAGAAGTCTATGAGATGTAAGGAGACACACCCCCACTGCAGCCAAACCGTTTGAGGCAGGCAGACTGTACGATCAAGTTTAAGGAACACTTTTATTTATTTATTATTTTTATTTTATTTTATTTTTTATTTATTCATTTATTTTTTTTTTTTTTGGAGACACAGTCTGGCTCTGTCGTCCAGGCTGGAGTGCAGTGGCAAGATCTTGGCTCACTGCAACTCTGAGACTCCCCCAAGTGCGATGGACAAAAAGAACACCTAGAGCAGTATAAAGACTGGGTTGATATTGGACGCCTTGGGATCTTACTTATTTTTGCGTTGCTCCAAGTACTTCAATGTTCTGAGACAGCCCCTCCCAACTCCGATGAATTCTTCCGAAGAATCTTGTACCTCCACTGTGCCTCCCCTTAGACCCAGGCAGTCTGATTTGTATCCATGCTTTGCAAGGAAATTGATTAAAAAAAAGAAAAAAATGGAAAGCTATTTTAATGTCAAACAATGATGGATGGTGTTGAAACAGAACCGTGTCCCCAGTTGTTGTTGGTAAAGTTTTGGAAAAGTTTCTGTAACATGGACCCAGTCAAAGGACAGGTTCGATGTGTACCGTAAGTACCATTTGAGAGCAAAAGGTTAAGTTTTCAAAATAAATAAGCAACAGTTTTGAGGGTATATTTGGCTTCAGGAAAAAATAATTGGTGGTACTCTTCTGGTTCACAGTATCTAGAACTGAATGGAAGCGCGGCTTTTAGATCCTATCTTGCTTCCTACTCTGTGATTGATGGCTGGGCAACAGGGCAAAGATAAAATGCTGAACTCAGCACCATCAGTATTGCAAAGCTATGGTGGAATGTTCACAATGATTTGATAATAATCTCAAGATCTTTACTTTTAAGATGGAAAGTCTTCTTTCGCCATAATAAAGGTAAAGTAGAGGTATGTATAAGGAGACTATGGGATAACTTTAAACTCCTGATGAGCCTGACTTTGTTCCATGTGACCAGGCCCACTGTTTGTTTGTCCTGCTGCTGGGAGGACTGCTCTCAGCTCCTACACGGTGTTCACCGGGCTCTGCGCGTGGGGCTCCTGGGGTCTGCACAGCCCCAGTGCTGAGGAATCTCCCTGGAGGGAATGGAGATCTCAGGGAGGTTCAAGTCCCTATATAAAGAGTTCAGATGATAATTCAGTCCCAGCCCCTTTCACAGGCTATTTTGGTTCAGGTATCCTTAATCTAACTCAGGATTTGCTCCTCAATCATGGCTCCGCCCACACTCAAAGGAGGGGCAGTGTAGGGGCGAGTCTCTGAGGGCGGGAAATGCCAGGGGGCATTTCCACAATTCTGTTCTTCCTTTTACAGAATCGCACAAGTTCACATCTCACAACAACAACCACAAAAAACATTCACAGTAAATGAGGACATTTTATGAAGTGGCACATTTAGACACTTAAATGTCTGAGAAAAAAATGGTCTTAACTCATGGGGAAACGAGTGATTTATGAGATACTCTTGAAAAAACTGGCTTGGGTGAGGGGAATAGGAAAAAGACAGGCAAGTACCACCATGCACAGCTAATTTGTTGTATTTTTAGTAGAGACGGGGTTTCACCATGTTGGCCAAGATGGTCTTGATCTCCTGACCTCATAATCTGCCCACGTCGGCCTCCCAAAGTACTGGGATTACAGAGGGCCACATTTTTAACAAGTACCAAAAAATCATGTGATCATAGACTCAAGGCCAGAAAAGAAATCCTGGGGGGAAAAGTACTTGCTCCATGTTCCCTATGACAGAAGACTTTGTGGGCCAGAGCTTCAGTGTCTCAATCTACCCTGAATTTACCCACAATTTTAATATCTTCTTCAAACCATCAAATTGGCCACATCTGGATGAAGGAAGCAACCTATATCATAATCATTTTGGCTAAATATTTGGATCATTTCTGACATCTGAGTTTTTTTCTACATCTTCCTATTTGGAAGAATAAACTTGTATGGGCCTTTAGCACACTCCAGACAGCAAACTGCTTTGAAAGAGAAACGCCTTCCAAGAGACTATGGTGATTTCACGCTGAAGACAGAAGTTGCTCTGCCTTAGGACTGCTTTTTCTGGGATTTATTTTGTTATCATAATCAGTTACTAGTTCATATTTTCTGTTGAATTTTTTTAAAGGCATTATTGATGAGATTATGGCTTTATCACAAACAATACTTCTTTGGTGAAAGTGGATTGAAATTAACAGAACTTAAATTTTTCAATGCTTTTCACGTACAAGAGTTGAACATGGCATGGTAGCTGAAGGAGTAGGAGGTAGATTTTGAGAAACATGATTTTTTCAGTTTAGATCACTTCAAATTTTTTGTTTTTATCCAAACTACAGAAAGTTTTAATGAGTTGTCAATTCAAAGGTCATTCCAAAAAAAGTTTTGAAGCTAAATCACAATGTAATTTTTGAATTATGATCTCAAAAGATTTGAATAATTGGATGGCATTGCTGTGACAAAACAAGGTTTTCAGCTCTTTCATTTTTAAAAACAAAAACCTGATGTTGAATCATCTTGTTTTACCAAACAGTAGTATGCCCCCTTGAATATGTGACTAAGAAAAAATAATTAAAAATTAAAAACAACTTCATCTATCTCATTAATAGGTTCATATAAAAGAAAATATTTCCTTATCAAATAGACTGCTAGATATGCCTAGACTCGGCACTAACTTGAAATTATATGACATGTCTCTCCTATATTCGTGATACTTATTAAACTATTAAAATGATCTGACTCCATTCATTTTGTGAGAGCATGGCACCCTTCTCCGCTATATATGAAAGTTACCACTCTACTTCGTATCCTTCTTCATAGAAAACATAATTCCATCAAATTATTATTAAAACTTGTTTAATTGGGGTACGACCTTTTGATTACTTGTACTTTTGAAGACCAAACCCTAGATAGTTTGCACTTGGAAACAGTGCAGCTAGATTATTTAAACTTTATTTGGACACAGACTAAGTACTTTTGGGGGGCAAAGGCAGGCAGAGCAGATGTTAAGGTTATTCCAGAGTGATCCTAAATTATTGAAAATAAATGTGAAGTTGTAGGCCATAGACAGTGGGTCATACCTGTAATCTCAGCACTTTGGTGGCTCTCTTGAGGTCAGCGGGTCACGACCAGCTTAGCCAACATGGTGAAACTCCATCTCTACTAAAAATACAAAAATTAGCCAGTGTGATGGCACATGCCTGTAATCCCAGCTATTCTGGAGGCTGAGGCAGGAGAATTGTTTGAATCTGGAAGGCAGAGGATACAGTGAACTAAGATCATGCCACTGTATGCCAGCCTGGGCAACCCAGCAAGACTCCATAAAAAAAAAGAAAAAGAAAGGAGGGAGGGAGGGAGGGAGGGAAGGAAGGAAGGAAGGAAGGAGAGAGAGAGAGAGAGAGAAGCTGTGAAGTGCAGTCCCTTCATTTGTTAGTCATCTCCTCACTACCTCACGAGTTCCAACCAGAGGCCACATTTTTCTAGGCGGTCTCCAAATGTCCATTATGAGATAGAATTTAATAATGGCAATGAAGCTCCAGGAAAACTTCCATTGTTATTAACATGTAATACAACCAGCCATGAAAGCTGTCCAAGATTTTTCCTGGAAAGATAGAACTATCTACAGATTTTCTTCTTGACAACTGTGGCTATGTGATATTACACATTGAGAAGATTTAGAATGCGTGGGGACACTGAACCTTCTCAGCTAATGTGGTTTTCCTCTTTGAAAAAACAACACTGTGTTTCTGCTCCTGAACTGACCTCTGAGACCTCGATGGAATCTTGCTTCTGTCTTCAGCAGTTCAGCTTTACTCAAACTCCACGAAAAGCATTGAGTTCTATGTGGGGGCCAGAAAAATGTTCTAACCTTGTGTGTCCAATCACTACCCTCACTGCTACCTGTAGATTTTTGCCCCACCTCAGGTTGCTTGGGCAAGGTTCTCTTTACTTCTAGTGTTCAGAGAGCACTAGGCCTGCCACATCGGCCAGAACACAGCTTCTGAGACTCCCAAGTGCGATGGAAAAAAGAACAACCTAAGAGCAGTATAAAGACTGGGTGATATTGAGACCCTTGGATCTTACTTATTTTGGTTGCTCAAGTACTTCAATTTCTGAGACAGCCCTCCCAACTCCATGAATTCTTCCAAGAATCTGTACCCTCCACTTGCCTCCCTTAGACCCAGGAGTCTAATTTGTTATATGCCTTTGCAAGGAAATTGATTAAAAAAAAAAAAAAATGAAAGCTATGTAATGTCAAAATATGGTGGTGTGAAACAGAATGTCCCCATTTTTGGTAAAGTTTAAAAGTTTCTGTAACACTGACCCAGTCAAAGACAGGTTCGATGTACCGTAAGTACCATTTGAAGAGCAAAAGTTAAGTTTCAAAATAAATAAAGCAACAGTTTTGACGGGGTATATTTGGCTTCAGGAAAAAATAATTGGTGGTACTCTCTGTTCAATATTAGAACTGAATTGGAAGGGGCTTTTAGATCCTATTTGCTCCTACTCTGTGATTGAGGGGGCAAAGGGCAAAGATAAACATGCTGAACTAGCACCATCAGTATTGGCAAGCTATGGTGGGAATGTTCACAATGATTTGATAATAAATCTCAGATCTTTATTTTAAGATGGAAAAGTCTTCTTTGCCATAATAAAGGTAAAGTAGAGTATGTATAAGGAGACTATGGGATAACTTTATAACTCCTGATGAGCCTACTTTGTTCCATGTGACCCAGGCCCACTTGTTTGTTGTGCCTGCTGCTGGGAGGATGCTCTCAGCTCCTACAGGTGTTCACCGGGTCTGCGCTGTGGGGCTCCCTGGGTCTGCACAGCCAGTGCTGAGGAATCTCCCTCAGAGAATGGAATCTCAGGGAGGTTCAGTCCCTTATAAAGAGTTCAGATGATTGAATTAGACCCAGCCCTTCACAGCTATTGGTTCAGGGTATCCTTAATCTAATCAGGGATTTGGGCGGCTCCTCAATTCATGGCTCCGCCCACACTCAAGGGAGGGGCAGATGTAGGGCGAGTCTCTGAGGGGCGGGAAATGCAGGGAGCATTTCACAATTCTGTCTTCCTTACAGAATCGCAAAGTTCACATCTCACAACAACAACCACAAAAAAACATTATTCACAGTAACAAATGAGAACCATTTTATGAAGTGGCACATTAGAACACTTAAATGTCTCGAAGAAAAAAATAGCTAACTCATGGGGAAAACGAGGTGAGATTTATGGAGAAGTACTGCTGAAAAAAAACATGTGGCTGGGTGAGGAATTGAATAGGAAAAATATTATTTCATTTAATTTATTTATTTATGTAAGTGTATTTACCTAGATAGTTTATCTTTGAGACAGACTCTCCCTCAGTGTGCCCGCATGGGGCCAAGAAGATGGATGGATTGGCAGTGGCCTGAATCTCAAACTCACTGCAATCCCAAGATCCACCGATCCTGGCCTCAAGCGAATTCTCTCTGCGCATCAGCCATACCAGAGTAGCCCAGGAAGTCATTAGATCAC